GGACCCGACAGCCCCCCGCGCCCCGCCCGGGGACAGGCGCTGTAGCTGCCCTGGTTCTGGGGGTGGGGGCTCCACTGTCCTCTCAACAACACCGTGATGCAGTTAAGAGCTCAGCGAGGTGCTTTGTTACAATTAGAGTTTCCTCATCATCCAAATCTTACCAAGCTGAGGGGTGCAGGTGACCCCCTGGGCTCACAGGGGACTGCTGCGTGGGTGTGCCTCGGGAAAGGCGTAGGACTTTATTGAAAGGTCTCTGTCCTCCTCAGAGACTTTCCCACGGAATACTTTTATGTTTCTTCTTCCCTGGTGTGTTAAAAGTCTGTTAAAGACCTTCACAGTTGACTTCACTTCCTTCTGTGACGTTTCCCTTCATTCCTTCCACTCTGAGACTTTGGATATGTATTCTGAATTTTGGTCTGTGTCAGTGGTGTGAGACTTCACTTCTGCAGAAAGGTTTTATTTGTTGGTTTTATTTTTGAGTTGCACCATTTCTAGTTGAACTTCGTTGAAAAGAGAACATTGGGTCTATAGTCCCATGGCACTACTAGGTATTTCTGTAGCTGCAAAGCGTTTTGTCTTTAAATTGAGCTTTTTTCTTTCATTTGAATAATTTTCTTTTTTTATTATTATTGTTGTTTTTGCAGATGACACCACTGGTAAGCAAGAAGATGGACCAATTTCTGGGTGAGTCCAGAGACTGTTCATTATAACAATACAGGCTACAAAGAAGACCAAGCTGTGTTAAGCATAGCTTTGTGAATACTTTAGACCCATGCTGTTGCCAGAAACAACAGCCTATCCTTTTCCCATCCCATGCTGCCGTGCTTGGGCTGGCACGTTGTTTATGGATTTGAAAGGTAAACTGGATCAGTCAACTCATGTGACTTAAAACTAACTCATAACCCTTCCCCTCCTCCGCCCCTGTCCAATTTGTTTTAAATTGGATCTGGTTTTCAGTTTAATTCCATAGGAAAAATTGTGCCTTGGGGATTGGCTTTTGTGCTGACTTGGCACTGGTAAAATTGTGGCCTGTGCTTTAAGTCTGAAAAAGCTAAAACCTCGAGCCTAGGTTAAAATCTTGACTTTATCAAATCAACAACTTATGAGTGATAAATCAACAAATTATGAGTGATCTATGAAGTGTGTGGTTTAGGTCAGACTTTCAGATGAAAGCATTGTGGACAGTTCAATGATCAGTTTTGCTTTCTGTGTATGGAAAGTATTGTCTGTCCTTGATCACAACTCCCCTGGATTTGCAGCAGTGTGTTGCACCAGCAGAGTTTCCTCTCAGCAGAAATCTTATCTGTTTGCCATTTTTAAATGGAACGTGGTTTTCAGAAGGCTTGATCTTCACTGGACTTCTGTGTGCTCAGCACTTCCAGTTTAGTATTTCTTGTCCTTTAAGGCTGTTGTGAATTCAGCATCTGGAATTTCTGAGATTGTTGCAGATGCTATCCCATTTCTGTAGTAAGTATCCTGTGCTTAGGGAATGTGAAAACTTCTTCAAAAATCAGGTAAATTGTTACTTAAAAACATCAAATCAGCTTTGTGAGAAGGCAAAACTTTTAGTTTATATAGAAAATTACTGCTAACTTGCATAAATCTATTGTTCTTTTTCACTTTCATCTGAATGTAATTTTACAAGCAGGAGTAAAAATTTGAATTTCCAATAACTGCAAGATGCATGAAGGAAAAGTATTAGTGGTCTTGCTAGGTCTCCTTTTTTTTTTTTTCCTTTTTCTTTTTTCCCTTTTTGTTGCACAATGAGAGTGAGCTCTTCCTAAATGAAAAGCTGTCGTGTGTGTTAAGAAAAATGACTCTTTGTTTGCTATGTTGTTGACAGCTGCAGCTCCAGGCATACATTGCTGGCTTGCCTAGAGTTTTTGTCTCTACTCATGAAGCAGAAATCAGTGTAGGGCAGGATGCAGTATCTGTTAACACTCCTTAGCCTAAAGGATGCGTTAAATACCAGCAGTCTGGGCAGGATGCTGTTACATCGGCAATGCACAGGGTTATGGTGGCATTCTGGGGAATTTAAAATAACTGTGACATTTTTTTGGACACAGATGATGGCTGTGGACCTGTCAGATTGTTCATTCCTGGGAAGCGAACAGTTTAGGGA